TTTCCAATTGTGCCCAATTCAGTGCTTTACATGTAGGAAACGCTTGCCATGTATTTAATATTATTAAATAAAAGTTGGAAGATGTAATGCACTTTATGAACAGGGTGAGAGAGAAGTGATAGTTTCACAAAACTGTCTCCCCAAATGGCCCAAGAAATTAAACTTTCATGTAGAAGACCAAGACATTGTGCCTACCTATCTTAATTTTTTTGGGAAAAAAATTGTAGTTAAAAAGGAGAGAGAGTAAAGGAGATAGGTGAAAATGAAAATAATGAAACCTGTTGAAAATTCTTCAAAGGGGGTAGGATAAAAAAGTAACAGGGCAAATTTGATCAAAGTACATTAATTACATGAATGGAACTATCACAATGAAACCCCTTTGTACAATTAATATACACTAATAATGAAAAAATTTGTGGTAAAATATATGTAACATAAAACTAATTTTAAGTGGACACTTCAATGCATTAAGTAGAGTCACATTGTCATACAACCATTTACATTAATACTTCTCTTTCTCAAACACAGAAGTTTTCTAGATGAAGCTTAGGACATGGGAATTGCACATTTGCTCAACAAAGCATTCATCTTGCTTATTTCCAGAGGAAAAACTTTTCTAAGATTCTGATCCTCTTCCAAAAGCTCTGCATATTTGAATTCTCATGATTATAGTGTAGGACTTAGAACCAAACTTGCTGATTAAAGTCTTGACTTTCCTGCTAGCTGTGTGACCTTGAACAAAATACTTAATCTTTCTGTGCCCTTTGTTTTCACATTTTTAAAGAAGAGGTCACAGTAATAGTATTTACCTTACAGAGATATTGGGTTAAGTTAATGAGTAATTATTTGTAAATATTCTGTCCTATATTACAATATAAATATTTGGTATTGTTTTTATTATGAGAAATAATATCTTCCACGTCTCTCCTGCTGGATTGAATGTACTCTGTGTATAGGCATTTTGTCAGTTTTGTTTACCGTTAATTTATTATTTGGAAGAGCCTCCAAATGGGCTTTCAGTCTACCATTCCCACTTTTTTCATCTTTAAAAATTTTTATTTGTATTGGTGTGGTGACACATGACTGCAATCCCAATACTCAGGAAGCTCGGGAGGAGGCTCGAGTTGAAGGTTAGCCTGGGCTGTATAATGAGGCTGTCCAAAAAAAATAATAAAGCAAAACAAGTAAACAACAACAAAAAGAACCCAACCCAACCCAAACAAAAACAAAGGCCAGGTGTGGTGGCTTAAGCCTGTAATCCTAGCTACTTGGGAGGCAGAGATTAGGAGGATCATGGTTTGAGGCAAGCCCTGGTAAAAGTTCACAAGACCCCATCTTAGCTAATGGTGGGTGCCTGCCATCCTAATTACACAGGAAAGAACAGAAAGGAGGATTGTGGTCCAGGCTAATCTGGGCATAAACTGAGATCTTATCTCAAAAATAACCAATATGATAAAAGGGCTACGGGTATGGCTCGAGTGGTTGAGTAGCCTAGTAAGCTTGAGGCCCTAAATTCAGCACCCAATACTGCCAAAAAATTATTTACATGTGGACTTAAATGTTTTGTTTATTTGCATATGGACATAGTTAAGAAATTAAGATTAATGACTACTATTTCATGAGCTCTTTGGCTTTATTTCAAAGGTAAGTAAGTTTGGGAGGAGGTGGTTAGGAAAAGTGACACTTTACCCTTTTAGGGGATCATTATCCAAAGGAAAGGCTGAGTGCTTAGTAACCTCCAGGTGCTTTTTTGGGGTACTTGGGAAACGAACTCTGCAGTGAGAAAACTGGACATGTCCCATTAGGAGGTGCTATTTGTCAGGGTTATTTTAATCCAGTGGAAGAGGAAGAGAAAAGGCAATGGTGACATCAGCAGGACGTTAATATAAATTACCTACACTGGAAGACCAGCTTTGACTCCTAATGTCAGCAAGTTTTGGGTTCTCTCCCTACACAAATGGAAGCTTCCTTGGATTGTGGAGCAATTCCCCTGAGAATCATTTACCCCCAGAGGATTGGTGGAAATTCAGCTGAAGGTATGTAAGCAAGCTCCCAGCTCCCCTTGCCCCAACCTCAAACTCTGAATTTTTTCTTTGCTTCATGACATAGAAATTTGCAAAAATCTCTTATCAGCCATGGAACTCCTTCTGCCTAGATTTCTTTGCTTTACCAGAGAAAATGACAGTTAGTTAAAAAACAAGTAAAGTGTGAGATTTGTGCAGGATTGAAAGCCTCCACTGAACCATGGTGGCTTAAGTGTTTAGCCAAAGGGAAGGTCAGCATTCTGGGTTCTTGCCTCATGAAGCAGAAGAATGAACTGCACAGACAATGAAGGGTGAGTGTAGAGGTAGGAAATTTATCAAGTGAAAGAATAAAAGCTCCCACAGGAAGGGAGGGATACCGAGTGGGTTGCCAACAATTCTGAGGTATCTAGGGATTTTTAGTCATCAAAGTAAGGTATTACCCAATTTCATATGCTAACCAGGTATTAAACTAATGTAGGTTTATTGGTTCCATTTATGGCATGTCCAGAGTGAACAATAGGGTGTGGAGGGGGTTGGTTTTCAAACTCTGGGAAGAGTCCTCAAACTGCTTTTCCTTCTGTCTCTTGCCTCCCCTTTTGTGAAGGTCGATCTTCGGTCACCCTGTTTTGCTGTCCCATTGTAGAACACTTGCTTTATGGTGAAACAGGAGTGAAAAACTTTCTGTGACTTTTTTCCTTTCTCTACCTGCCTGGTTTGTTCCTGACTCCTAATCTCTCACTAGGCAGCTCCTCGTGGTGATGCACACTGGTAATCAACAAGGTGAAGAGGATGAGGCAGGAGGATCATGAGTTTGAGACCAGCCTGGACTACACAGCTGGTTGTTGGTGGCAGCTCATACCTGTAATCTTTGCTATTTGTGAGGCTGAGATTGGGAGGATCAAGGTTTAAGGCCAGACCATGCAAATAGATTGCAAGACCCCATCTCCAAAATAACCAGAGCAAAATTGACTGCAGATGTGGTTTAAGCAGTAGAGTGCCTGCTTTGCAAGTGTGAAGTCCTGAGTTTAAATCCCAGTCCCCCCACCGCTCCAACATAGGTTTTTTCTTTTTTCCCCAGTACTGGGGTTTGAACTCAGGGCTTACACATTCAGCCATTCCACCAGCCCCTTCTTTGTGATGAGTTTTTTTGAGCTAGGGTCTTCCAAACTATTTGCCAGGGCTGATTTCGAACTGCGATCCTCCTGATCTCTGCCTCCTAAGTAGCTAGGGTTACAGGCATGAGCCACTGGCACCTCGATCTAACATAGTTTTTATCAGCAGAAATACGCCACTCCACAGAGACAAAGTTTGGCAGAATCACTAAAGCTACAAATCACAATCTTCAGGAAACCACAAGGTAAATGATATGTTAAAATAGGAAGATATCTCTAAGAAACCGGTCAGAATGGAAGATCCCAATGCAGGATTGCATTAAAAGTGGATTTTTTTGAGACAGGGTCTTGCTGTGTAGCCCATGCTAACCTCAAACTTCTGGGCTCAAGTGATTCTTCTATCTCATCTTCCTCAGCCTCCCAAGTGCTGGGACTACAGGAATGGACCACTGAAACTGGCTGTTTCCTTTTTTTCTAACAAAAAAAAGTAGTATTTGTTCATCGTATAAAATTGAAGAGCACTCAGATGGGAGCCAAGAAGAAATATATTAACTGTCATTATACTGATTCATATAATCACTCTTTATTACTGTACTGAAATTTCATTTTTGGTATGTGTAATCCCAGCTTCTCAGGAGGTAGGAGGATCACCATCCAAGGCTGGCCCTGGCAAAAAGGAAGAGACCTTAGCTGAAAAATAAACTAAAGCCAAAAGGGCTATGACTCAAGTGGTAGAGCACTTGTATAAGGCCCTGAGTTTAATCTTTAGTACACATACCCCCCACACACAAAAAGGAATTTGCATGCTTCTAAAAATAGCGAAGTCCTAATCCTAACTACTTGGGCGCAGATAATTGGGACCATCTCTGAGGCTAGCCCTGGCAAAAATAGTTAGCAAGACTCCTCAATGGATAAGCTGGGTGTGTGGCGCATACCAGTTGTTGTAGCTCTGTGGGAGGCATAGGTAGGAGGATCATGTGTGGTTTGAGGCAGCACTGGGCAAAAAATGGAAGAGAGACCCTATCCAAAAAATAACTAAAGCAAAAAGGGCTGAGGGCATGACTCAAGTGGTAGAACGCCTACCTAGCAAGTTGGGAGGCCTGAGTTCAACCCCCAAGTCCTACATGACTGTATACTTCACTCCTTACTGAAGGGATAAGATTTTAGTGGTAATTTTTATCAATGCATTGCTTCCATCAGAATGAAATTCAGTGCAAAGCATACCATAGTTTATAAATTAGTCAGGTGGAAACATTGACTTATGTAATTTGTTACTGCCTACACTGTTTGAGCACTTCGTATCTGTTCTTTTCTTCTGTGGTCTAGGTTTAGGGGTTTCCCTTTTTGAAATAAAGGTCTTAGAGTTAGTCTGAAATTACGGATGTAACAAGTGTGCCTCAAGGTTACCTTGTTGTCTTGGTTTGTTCCTTTTGAATTGTCTACCAACCCAGGGTTTCTTTGTTTCTGAAACTTAAAGCATAGTACATCCAGTATTATTTCTGCCACTTGGTAGAAATGAACTTCACGTTTAAGAGCTCCAACCAGATTACCAGACCTGAGAGAAACTGTACTGTATCCTCTCCTCCCATGACTATCTCCCACCGGGGACGTTTTGGTTTGGGAGAAATCAGGGTAAATTGATTTCCTGCAAAAACTCCTTCCAAATCTTCGGGCAGGTAATTTGCAAATGTTGGGGGTCGAGTTTTCTGGACTGTTGGGTTTTGAAGTAGCTCCATAGTAATTTTTATTTTTTATCACTTCTAGGATAGTCTAACAGCCAGAACAGAGGGAGTTTGGGTTGAGAGATGACATGGAAAGTCGAGGTATGTTGTGTCCTTACCTCTCTGTCTCTTTAAGGCTGGCCATGGCATCTCAGGGTCAAAGTCTGGGTTCCAAGTCAGATGAAGACTGTAAAGAGAGCTTTCAAGAGGAGCTTCTGAGTATTGATTCAAGCCTGGGGGGTCCAAAATGTGGAGAGCCTGAAGTTTCTCTGCATCAACCTGGTCTCCAAGAAGAAGCTGGAGAAATGCAGCTCAGCCTCAGATATTTTTAATCATCTCATGGAAGAAGAGCTGTTGTGTAATGAAGACCCTTTTATCCTAGCAGAACTCCTCTACACCACCAAGCAGAATCATCTGCTGCAGCACCTTAGCTATACCAAAGCGCAGGTGGAGACTTTGATGCCCACCCGAAAGAAGGTCTCTCTGTTCAGGTGAGGAGCAGTCTGTGAGGTAGACATGCATTTGGTCCTTTGGGCTTTGAAAAAGAGGCTGGAACTAGGATCTTTTTCTTACCTACCTCCTTGGAAGATAAACCAGGAAATTCTAAAAAGATACTTTTCGGTTTCAGATGCCAAAGTGCTGAGAGGTTGAGAGGGAGGTCAGTAAAGCTACAAGACCCAGATTGGACATGGCTTCCATTTGTTTAGCTTCTCACTCTTCTTGAAGCCACTGTGCATTGTGGGGGTTGAACTTCTCATGGTTCCCAGTTTCCATGCTCCCAGATGGTTCTTTCTTTTGTGCTTTTATTTACAAAGAGACAATGCATACTTGGAGTACAAAAGCTAGATGAAAAAGGAGATGTGTCTTCAAGATAGGGAGGGACATCAATTATGCCATTTTCAGTTATGGGCTTTTATATTTTTCTGGGTGGGAATCCAGAGATAAAATTTAATGTAGGCATTTTCCCAAGAAGGTAAAATGAGCCGGGTGCCTGTGGCTCATGCCTGTAATCCTAGATTCTCAGGAGGCAGAGATCATGAGGATAGCAGTTTGAAGCCAGCCCCAAGCAAATAGTTCATGAGAACCTATTTTGAAAAAACCCATCACAACAAAGAGCTGGCGGAGTGGCTCAAGGTGTAGGCTGTGAGTTCAAACCTCAGTACTGAAAAAAAAAAAAAGAAAAAGGAGGTAAAATGTAGGCATCAGGCCTACCATCGCCCAGACTTTTTAGACAGAAGTGTTTTATCTTATTTACTGATATAGTGAATACATCAAAGAACCTAACAAGGAGGTGCGCTTGAAGGGTGCTTTGTGGTCTGGCCCATTCAAGCTGGCTCCTAGTGCCTAAGGTATTCTTGGGTCAGTGAAAGAAATAATGGATTCCAGAAACCCTTATTACCACTCTGCCATTTAAACATCTCAAGGATGTTTTTTGACAGAGGCTGAAGGTGTGAATAAAATGCTTCATTTTTCTATTTGTAGACAGTATGACTATCCAGAAATCAAAGCATAATGTGTATGAAAGCCCTTGACTTACTGTGGGTGACTCTTGCAAGTGTGAGGCTTCATTTTTTATCTTCAGTGTGTGTCTTAGAAACCTGCTCTTTGAACTATCAGAAGGCATCAACTCACAGACCTTAAAGAACATGATCTTCCTTCTGAGAGAGAGGATTCCAAAAACCAAGATGGTGAGTGGGTCATGCAGGATGGGATCTATGGCAGCACTGTCAGTGCTTAGGAAGATGCTACAAAGAGTTAGAAGGAGGTTAATTATTTTTATTCTGCTAATTTTCTCCCTTAGATGGTCACTGGAAGTCATGTGCTTTTGTCTTTTATACTTCTGCTATTGTTTTCTACATTTCTTTTCTGTTTATTGTAAAAATTCAACCAACCAAACAACCAACAGAACACAGGTTCAGAAAATGACACAAGCCAGATATGGTGGGTCATATATGTAAACCCAGCATTTGAGCCGTGGAGGTAGGAGGATCAAGAGTTCAAGGCTAGCCTGGGCTACATTGTGAAACCCTGCCTCAAAAAAAAAAAAGTTTCAAAACAAACATCAGCTTAATATATTATTATAAGGCTAATACTCTTGTAACCACCACACAGGTCAAGCAGTCTAATTTTGTGCTTCAGCAAGATAATGTATAATGTGCCATCTGAACTCTGTGTAAGTGCTTCTGAATTGAGTGCTTTCAAAACAAATTAATAGATAGGATTTTAAAAAAGAAATAAAATATTTGCAGCCACTCCAGAAACCTCTCCATCTGCCACATCCCAGTCAAGCATCTTTTTGGTTGCTATAAGAAACCACTGTCCTGGGTTTTATAGAATTATATTGTGTTGTTTCTTCATACTTTATCACTTAACCGGGCAACCCTAGACCTTTAATGTCCTGGGTTTTATAGAATTATATTGTGTTGTTTCTTCATACTTTATCACTTAACTGGGCAACCCTAGACCTTTAATTTAGTCTTGTTTAGTTATTTTTTTTCTTTCAAGTGTCTTTTAACCTGTAAATTAACCCGCATGCCCCCAATCTCTTTTTCTTAAAAGTTATCTGTTAAGCCCCAAGGCAGTGGGCTGCAGAATTTCCTCTGCCTGTTTTTGCTGGTGTCAGTTCACAGCGCACTTGGGCATGCTCTTCAGTCTGTATTTCTTGCAAAGCGGCGGCGGAATCCAGAGGCTTCATCAGATTCAGCTTACATCCTTTTGGCAAGACCATAGGTGGTCCTGTGTTCTTTCTTGGAAGACTCTGCTTTTTGATATTAGAAACTGTTGAGGATTTAGATTGATTTTTTTGGGAGTTACAAAATGGAAATATCAAAATTCTACCATTTAGGGCTGGAGGTGTGGCTCAAGGGGGTAGAGACTTTCCTTGCAGACTTGAAGCCCTGAGTTCAAACATCAGTATTGCCAAGAAAAAAATTCTGTCATTTTGTTTCTCCTCATTTACTATTTGTCTATCCAGTGACACATGTAAATCTTTGATTCTATCATTTACTTACCCACTTTTCAATATTATTAATAGGTTTCCTGTTATTCTCTGAAAAAGACCCATTATAAAAATATATATAAAGCTGAACTTCTGGATTTAAAAAATCTGAGGGGTTTCAGTCCATTACAATTACTATCCCTAGTGAAGTTCAAGTGTCCTTTTGTGCTCTGGGGAGCTTCTTCAGGTTGGTTTCTCATTCATTTTAACATGAGTCAAATAGTCTATGACAGCTTCTTTGTTATCTGGCAGTGATGTCTCAGGTTCATTTTCTCAACTTTCTGCCCAGTTATATAACCCTCTAAAAAGCCCTAATTTCTTTTAATGAGAAATGTTATTTCAAGACCATAAACTAGATGCTGGGTATGTACATTGCTTCTGGGTTGGTAGTTGCTCCTAGATTGTTGCTGTTGTTTCTTCCAAAGGACAGAGAAAAGAAATGTGTGTGTGTGTGTGTGTGTGTGTGTGTGAAAGAGAAAGAGAAAGAGAGAAAGAGAGAGAGACAGAAAGAGAGAGAAAGAGAGAGAGAATTTTTGAATTTTTGTTTTAATATAAAATATCTCCTGGGTTCCTGATCCTGTTTCCAATTCAAATTCAAGTCGACTACCTTTTTTTTTTTTAATTTAATTTCTTCTACATTATACCTATATCTCCTTTTCTCCACACTGAGAAAACTGGTTCTCACGTTGTTACCAGAAATCCAGTCTCCTAGCCTCAAAGCCAATTCACAATTTACAAATAATGAGAGCAGTGTTTTGAGGAAAAGAAAAAAAGGTTTATTATTTGTCAGACAAAGAAAAGGACAGGGAGAGTCAGCTTCTCAAAGCACTGTCGTCCCACTTCTGAGAGAAAATGTCTACCTGTTAAAGGGGCATCCAGGGGTTCAGCTTGACTGCATGACCATATGCATGCCCACCAAGGCTGGTGGCCTTGATTTGCTAGGAGTTTGGTGCCACTTCTCTGAAGCTGTATGTCTTGGCTGGCAAGTTTATTACTCTGGTGGTCAGAGAGAGATAAGGGCTAGAGAGCTGCTTGACCTAATTGGAGAGCAAAGGGAATTAATCTTTGTTACTGGATTCTCCAGCATTGACTGAAGAGGCAGAAAAAGTTAGCTTAATCAACAGAGTAAACTGGCCAGCAGGGAAGCTGGCTATACAAAAGTTTTTTTTTTTTTTTTTTTCTTTTGTGGTGTCTGTTACATTTTCCCCATTGTCAATTTATTCCTTCCATTTCTATGAAAAAGAGATATTGTAATCATCTATTTCCTGCCTTTAGTTAATTCCTGGGCCCAAGTAAGGGATCAGTGCTCTTCAGCAAAAGCAGCTTTTAAGCTCCTGTTACAATGTCATGGGGGGATGATAGAATTAGAATGTTATATAATTTTGTTCTATTACTTATTACACATATAACAGTCTGAAAATATCAATATTAACACTTTTGTCATCATGATTATTCAAAATAGTCAAAAAGTTTTTTTGCATATGATATACCCATTCTCTCCCCCCACCTTTTTTTTTTTATGATGTCAGAGATGGAACCCAGGCTTTGCACACAATAGGCAAGTGCTCTAACATTGAGGTATGTCCCCAGCATCTCTCCAAGTTTTTTACAGTTGAAGTACATTAAATTCTACATTCTTGCTTTTCCCTTTTGATCCACATTTAGTTCTTGTCCTATAAGTGTGTGTGTGTGTGTGTGTGTGTGTGTGTGTGTAAGCCTATGCCTAGGCCTAAAGGTCCACAGAGAATTTAAAAAATCAAAATCAAGGATTTTTGTCTTAATTTTCTATAAAGCACTATGAGGATATTCTGGTTTTTTGTTTGCTTGTTTTTTTTTTTGAGGAAGATCTCACTATGTAGTTCAGCCTGGCCTGGAGTTTCTGACCCTCCTGCCTTAGCATTCTGAGTGCTGCAATTACAGGCATGCGCCACCATGGGTTGTACCAGTTTGATATTCTGCTTCTGTGACATCTCAGTGCTGATGTTTGAAGTGGTACAAACTGATGGATTTTACTTTAAATTCAGAGTTTTTCAATGTTGGAGATTCTTATAATTTGAAAAGCTCTCCAAGTGGTTTAAATAACATCTTCTTCCAATTTGGGGCAGCCTCTCACAAATTTCTCAGTGTCTTTTTTTTTTTTTATTGTGGTACTGGGGTTTGAACTCAGGGCCTCATTTTTGCTAGGCAGGTGCTCTACTACTGAGCCACTCTGCCAGCCTTGTTCTGTATTGGGTTTTTTTGAGATAGGGTCTTATGCACTATTTGCCTGGGCTGGCTTCTAATTGTGGTCCTCCTGATCTCTGCCTCCTGAGTAGCTAGCATTACAGGTGTGAGCCACCAGCACCTGACCGGGTTTATACATAAAATGAAAACTCTCTTATGTCCCTCCCTGTGTCATGGGCAGCAGTCCCTGTCCTCTAGGCACTGTGGGGTGGGGAGTGAGAGGTAAGGGAACGATTATTTGTTAAAGGAGTCTCTGGTACGCTGGCCACTGAACTGTGGTTTCAGTTAAAGTAAACTGGAAAATGTCTTCTGTCTCTTGATTGTGCAGGTCTTGGCTTCTGTCTGAAAGCAACTGTGGCTATAGAATCATTTTTATTTTTTGTTTTTTATTTTGATTTCTTTTATTTATTTATTTATATGTGCATACAATGTTTGGGTCATTTCTCCCCCCTTCCCCCCCACCCCGTCCCTCTTTCCCCCTACCCCCCTCGCTACCAGGCAGAAACTATTTTGCCCTTATTTCTAATTTTGTTGTAGAGAGAGTATAAGCAATAATAGGAAGGAACAAGGGTTTTTGCTGGTTGAGATAAGGATAGCTATACAGGGAGTTGACTCACATTGATTTCCTGTGCATGTGTGTTACCTTCTAAATTAATTCTTCTTAAACTAACCTTTTCTCTAGTTCCTGGTCCCCTTCTCCTATTGGCCTCTGTCGCTTTAAAGTATCTGCTTTAGCTTCTCTGCATTGAGGGCAACAAATGCTATCTAGTTTTTTAGGTGTCTTACCTATCCTCATATCTCCCTTGTGTGCTCTCACTTTATCGTGTGATCAGAGTCCAGTCCCCTTGTTGTGTTTGCCCTTGATCTAATGTCCACATATGAGGTAGAACATACGATTTTTGGTCTTTTGGGCCAGGCTAACCTTACTCAGAATGATGTTCTCCAGTTCCATCCATTTACTTGCAAAAGATAGGATTTCATTCTTCTTCATGGCTGCATAAAATTCCATTCTGTATAAATATTCAGAATCATTTTTATGACCAGAAGCATATGATGCTTAAGTAGTCAAATGATTTTTTTCTGAAGCAGTCTAACACTAAAAGGAAAAGTCACTGTGTTTAGCTATAATGTAGACTTGGTCAAATTCAGGAAAATCCTGCTTCCTTCCTGGATTCCAAGTGTTAGAAATAAGACTCAGGAGTCAGTCAGCAAGGCAAAAAATTTTACTTCTGCAGAAGGGTGTGAAACTGACATAGGTCTGATAGCAAGCACACCAAGCAGAAAGTCCCCTTGAGTTTTTATCCCTGATGTAAAAGGATAGACAAGTTATCCCCCACACAAGTGATCTTAGAATTCTGAAGGAATTCTAATTCTTCCTGATTAAATTGTGCCCAAGTTGTATGCTCCCAACTGATCAGGTTTATCTACAATCAGGCCAACCTTCTGAAGTGTGTATGTGTAAAGGACAGTCCCCAAGCAATCCAGAGGAGTTTCCTACCTGGACTTAATGAGGCTGCATTGTCTGTAGTAGCAACTTCAAAAGACTTACCAAAAAGTCAATTTTTATTTTTATTTTGTTGGCAGTACTGGGATTTGAACTCAGGGTTTTGTGCTTGCTCATGGCAGGCACTCTACCACTTGAGTCATTCCTCCAGCCAATTTTGCTGTGGTTATTTTGGAGATAGAATCTTGGTTTTTTTTGCCCTGGTCAGCCTTGACCACAACCCTCCTATTTTTGCTACCCGCTGTTGCTGGATGTAGGTGTGTGCAACCACAGTCAGCTATTGCTTGTGATGTAATCTTGTGAACTCAAACTATGGTTCTCCCTATCTCAGCCTTTCAAATAGCTAGGATTACAGTTGTGAGCCACTGGGCCCAGCTCAGAAAGTGAATTACTTCAGCCATTGGAGGAGGGCCTGAACACCCTTCAGTCAAAAGGGAAAGGTTCTAAATTTACACAAATGTCTTCAAGACCTTTGTAGAGTGCTAGGCTTCCTTTTTGCTATTTTTCTTACAAATTTAAGCAGCAGAGCTGCCCACACATTTTCTGAGAAACCTGAAGAAACTTTTCAACATAGCAATCAGCACAGATGGCTGGATTGAAAGGAAACCACATCTCAGCCTAGTTTTTTGTTTGTTTGTTTGTTTTTTTGGTCAGCATAGCTTTTTATTGTAGAACAAAAGAGCTCCCATATATACTGTTTTCCCAGGTAGTATTCTTAAACTAATATCCAGGTCTAATTAAATCGTGTGCATGTGAGTGTGTATGTATAGAAGGTGTCATTTGCTAAACATCTAATAAACTTTTTACAAAATGAAAAAGAAATTGAGGGGGGTGGGGAGAAGGCGGAGGGGCAGGGGGAAGAGGGGGAGAAATGGCCCTAATAATGTATGCACATATGAATAAAGAAAAAAAATGAAAAAGAATTACTTTTATGGCCAGAAGCATTCCAAGTATTCCTCCCCCTGCTAAATTAGCGTGGCTTAAAGCCCCTCTAGGCCCATGCTCAAGCAGCCAGATAACTGTGTTTTTCTCACTCAGTCTTAACAGTAAAAGGGAATCAATTTCTATCATTGCTCTGGGAATCTTGTCTTAGTTCCTTTTCTTCGTCATGCTGAAACCTAGTTTCAGTTTTGAGGTCCAGAGAACTCATCTGTCCATTATTTGCAACAGAACCGTGTGTGTGTGTGTGTGTCAGAGGCTCTCCTTATCTCTTTCCCCAGATGATTAGCCTTTGGATGAATGTTTCTTCACACTTCTCTCTCCTGCTTTATATAGGGCTACTGAACAGGCATACATACTTCTTTGCATTTTTGGTCTTCTTCATTGTCTCTGCAATATCTTAAAAATTTATGCTATCTTTTTTGATCAGATGAGGACAGAAACCAGTTAAGACTGAAGCTCTGGTCTTGCCCTGGGTTGTTTGTATTTTGGATGTCTTGTTTGAAAAAACACACAAACACACACACATACCCACAGACACCTTCACACACACACTTTGATTAACCCTCTTCTTATGTTACTGCTATATCTTCTTCCTTCCTTTTACTGCCAAACTTCTTCTTCTTCTTCTTCTTCTTTTTTGGTGGTACTGGGATTTGAACTCAGGGCCTTACTCTTGGTAGGCAAGTGCTCTACCACTTGAGCCACTCTGCCAGCCTGTTTTTTTTTTTTTTTTTGCTTTGGGTATTTTTCAAAATAGGGTTTCTCAAACTATTTGCCCAGGTTGGTTTTGAACTGCAGTTTGCAGTTCTCCTGATCTCTGTCTCCTGAGTAGCTAGGATTATAGGTATGAGCCACTCATGCCCAGCTATTGCCAAACTTCTTAAAAGAGTACTTTATGTACCTCTCTTTCCACATCTCTTAGATACTTTCCAACTTACTCCAGAATGGCTTTAGCCTGCATCATTCCTATGAATTTCTTTTTGCTGAAGCCACCAAGAACCTCATAATAACCAATTTCCAGTTTCTCATCATGTCCCCATGCAGATGTCTTTGCATGGAATGTCCTTCTCTACCTGGTCTGTGACATCCTGAGCATCCTTCAAGTATTGCCTCCCACATGCACCTTGTGTGGAGCCTGCTAAATGGAACAGATGAGTGATGAATAAAGGAACAGTATCACCATTTGAAGTCATCTTTGACTCTTCCTTTATTTCTTTATCCACTTTCATGTGATCTCCAAAACTCACCAAATTTTGCTTCAGAAATGCCTCATAGTTCAATATCTCCTCTGCATTTCCGCTGCTAGCTGTAGACCAAGTCTCAATCATTTCTTCACGAGGGTATTTAATCTTCCTGCCAATATTTTCTGTGTAATCTAACATCCTCCCAAGATTACCTTTTAAAACAGATCTGTTCATGTTGCTGTTCTGCTTTAAGACTGCTGCTGGTAGCTTGTGACCCATGGGACTCCTGACACCAGCCCACCATTCCAGCCATGACCTAACTCTCAGTTGGGTTTGGACTCAGGCCTCCCTCTCAACATTCCTAAACACTCTGCACCTTTTAGACTAAACTGTTCAACATGGGCCGGAGACTTTCTCCTCTTTCCACTCAGCCAAGGCATATGTAGTTAAATGGTATTCACGTGTTCTCAGATTTTTCTGTGGGCTCTAATATAACTTTGTTCATTTTTTTTAACCAGATGGTATAGAGAGTTGCTTGATAATAACCCTTTCCTACACTATTGAATTCCTTGAGATCCCTTATTCATCAATGTAAAACCCGGTGTCAAGTGTCTACACAGATAGTGTTTAACAAGTGAATGGATAATCGGTAGGAAACTAAATGTAACTCCATTGATTCTCTTGCAGACTTCACTAAGTTTATTGGCACATCTAGAGAAACAAGATGAAATAAAAGAAGATAATCTGACATTACTGGAGGACCTCTGCAAAAAGGTTGCACCTCACCTTCTGAAAATGATAGAGAACTATAAAAGAGGGAAAGGTAAGTAACTTAGGCTTGCTTACTTGCACCAGACCATGGGGATTCTTAAACCATTTATTTTGATGAATAAGAAACCAAAAATCTCCCCTATTTGTTCATTCAATACATATTTATTGAATGCATTGTAAAAAAAAATGGGCCAAAACCCATACAACAGGTATCATTTTATAGGCTGGAGGTATAGCAACTTAGAGAGCAAGGCTCCCATCTTCTTGGAGCTTATGTTCTAGTGGGGGAAAGTAGTTGTAGATAAATGTCATCTTCTGATTCTTACATAGGAATGAGAGTATAGGAGATTATTTTGAATGATATAACATAAAAAAGAAGGAGGCATAGGAGCTATGAGTAGGGTTTACAGGGTCAGGTTGACAGGACTCCATTAGTAAGTGGTGCAGTGGCCCTTTCCTCAGCCTTTCTGTATCTTGCTTTTTCCATCTGTAAAGTGGTCATAATAGTATCTATATCATAGGTAATGGTGAGGATTGGATGAGTTAATTCCCATAAACAGCATGTCTGCCATGAAGGAAACATTCAATATATGTTGCTCTTATGACTATGCTTGTCAGAGAGGGAAGTCACAGAGACTTTCATATTCTCAGAAATTACTATTAGAGAATTCCTTCCTTCCTTCCTCCCTCCCTCTTTTTCTTTCAACAGGATCTCATGATGTAGCCCACACTGGTGATGAAGTTGTGATCCTCCTGCCTTAGTTTCATGAGTGCTAAGGTTATGGCTTAAAAGTAGTTTTGCTATGATATATAGAGGTAGAAACACAGGGCAAAAGTCACACCTGGCTGCCTCTCATGTGTTAATATGCTAAATATTTGTGCTTTTCTGAGTCCATTTCTCCCTGTCTCTCTTTTTTGTGGGACTGAGGTTGAACTTAGGACTTTATGCTGGCAAAGCAGGTACTCTACTGCTTGAGCCAACACCTCCAGTCCATTTTGCTCTGTTTATTTTTAGAGGTGGAATCTTGTGAACAATTTGCCCAAGCTGGCCTTGAACTGTGTTCCTCCTGATCTCAGCCTCCCAAGTAGCTAGGATTATAGGTATGAACCACCAGTACCAAGCTCTGAGTCCATTTCTCCACTGTTAAATAAGAATTATATATTAAACCTTCATAATTTAACCCAGTGAGTCAATCTAGTATGTGAATTTTTTTTTGGTTAAAAATAAAACTAGCTAAAAAAATATGAAACTAGCTAAGAGGAAACTTCTAAGAATTCAACAAAGACAGAATAAGTTGAGAAACAAAATACACAGTTGTTAAATTTAGAAAATCTCAGATAATAACTAAAGCAATAAACACATATATACTAAGCAAAAATTGTGACAAAACCAGTTCCTTTTACCATCATGTTATTAAGTAAGAAATAAAGTAGGAAAGTTGATATCAAAAGAATATTTGGCATCCTTACATTAACCCTTGATTTTTTTCACCTGTTTGTTTTTTGAGAGTGGATCATTATTTAGCCCAGGCTGGCCTTGAACTCACAATTGATTTTCCTGTCACTAGTTCCTGAATGCTGGGATTACAGATGTGACCTACTATACCTGGCTGTGATTTGTTTTTTTGGATCATATGTTGTTTTCATATCGTTTTGGATATTTGCACTCTGGAGAAGGCACACTACTTTCTGAGGGGTAATGTTTACATTTGCCTCAGTGAGTCTTGAGGACAGCTTTATAGCAGAAGAAGAGTTCTCATTTTGAGTTGTCTTATTTTTATTAGCTTATATTAATTATAAAAAGTAATGGGTTTCATTGTGGCTTCCACACACATATATAACATACTTGCACCATATTCACTGCCTGTATTGCCCTCTTATCCCACTTCCCCTCTTCCTTCCACATCCCTGATAGCCTCCCTTTTACTTTCATGCCCTTCCCTCAGCCCTGAATTCCATATATAAGAGAAAACATGCAATACTTGTCTTTATGAGATTGGCTTTTCCACTTAATTTGATTATCTCCAGTTCCATCCAATTTCCTGCAAAAGAACTAATTTCATTCTTCTTTAGGGCAGAATAAAACTCCATTATGCATACACACCACATTTCTTTATCCATTGATGGGCCCCTAAGCTGATTCCATAAGTTAGCTATTGTGAATAAGCTATATCCACAGTAAACATGGATATGCAGGTATTTCTGTTGAATGCTGATGTAGATGCTTTTGTGTATATAACCAGGAGTGAGATAGCTAGATCATATGGTAGTTGTATTTTTAATTTTTTGAAGAACTTCCATGGTTTCCATAGTGGCTGGAATAAATTACATTCCCACCAACAAAGTTAAAGATTTCTTAATCCCTGCATCCCCTCAAACATTTACTGTTTTTTTTTTTTTCTTGATGATAGCTACTCTGAGGTGAGATAGAATCTCATTGTAGCTCTGCTTTGCACTTCCCTAATGGATAAAGATGTTGAACTTTTTTTTTTCATTTTCAAAATGCATCACTTTATTTTCCCCAAAAGCAGCCATACATTATTAACCTTGAGCACATGACAGTCTCATGATTTCTTCATTGACTTCCAAGGTTTCCCAAAGCTCTCCTGGGTTTGCAGCCAGAGGAGTCCTGAGGTTTCAATATTAGCACTTTCTCCATAGCTACAAGTTTCTTTGATATTTGGGTTACTGAAGACAAATTCACTGGATAACCTGTCTTCAACATAGTCCATTTCTGTTCCTAAAAGTGTTAGCTGTGCTTTTCATTCTAATGAACACTCTGACTTAGGAGAACAGCCACTGGACAAAACTGATTGGGCTCAAGTTTTCACTAGGTCCCTTCTCACTGTGTCATCATGGGCAAACTAGTTAACGTCTCCATGCCTCAGTTTCTTCATCAGGAAATAGGTATGAAATGGTGTCAGCCTTATTCCATTGTATCCCAAACAACTTTTTCATAAGAATCCTTTTTTTTGTTCATATTTTGCAGAGTGTAAGTAAGGCCATATTGGTCCCTGGCTCTGATACCGAATTATACACCTTCCCAGAACAAGTTTGTATGAAGCTCCCCATCTTGAACAACTTCTTCATCCGAATCCCTTTTTGTCTTCATATGGTCCAGAGTATAAGTCCAGGCACCCTCCTGCACCTGAGCAGCGCTTTTTAACATTCTAATGTATTTATTTGCTGCCTTTATTTCTTCATTTGAAAAATATCTGTTCAGTTCATTTGCCCATTTATTAATTGGACTATTTGCTCTTTTGGTGTTTAATTTTTGAGTTCTTTAAATATTCTGGATATCAATCCTCTGTCGGATGAGTAGCTGTCAAATGTTTTCTTCCATTCTGTTAGCTATTTCTTCCCTCTGTTAATTTTTTCTTTTGCTGTAAAGAAGTCTTTTATTTTGAGGAGTCCTATTCAGACTATATATATATATATGCAGGTTATGGCTATATCTTGAAGTGTTTCCCCTGTTTTCCTGTAGTAGTTACAAAATTTCAAGTCTTGCAATAGGTCTTTGATCCATTTTGAATTTACTTTTGTACAGGGTGAGAGATAGGGAACTATGTGAGTCAGCTACATGTGGATATCAAGTTTTCCCAGCACTATTTGTTAAAGAGGTTTTTTTTTTTTCCTCTAATGTCAGTTTTTAGCACAGATGGCTGTTGCTACAAGTACTTCTCCTATTCTATTCTGTTGGTCTCCCTATCCATTTTTGTACCAGTACCATGCTATTTTTGTTATTATGATCCTGTAGTATAGTTTAAAGCCAGGTATTGTGGTACCCCAGTCTTTCTCTTTTTGCTCAGGATTGTTTTGGCAATTTGGGGGTCTTTTGTGTTTCTGTATGAATGTTAGGACTTTTTTTCTATTATCATTGGAATTTTGATGATGTTTACATTGAACCTATAGATCATGTTTGACAATATGGTCATTTTAATGATACTGATTCTGCTGATACATAAACGTGGATGTCTCTCCATCTTCTCATGTCTCCTTGAATTTCTTTCTTCAGTGCTTTATAGTTTTTATTGTAGAGGTCTTTTGGTTAAGTTTATTCCTAGGTATTTTGTCTTATTTTTGAGGCTATTGTACATGGATTGTTTTCCTGACTTCTTTTTCAGGAAGTTCATTATTTGGTATATAGAAAAGCTACTGATTTTTGTATGTTGATTTTGTATCCTGCTACTGTGCTGAAGTGTTTATTGAATCTAAGAGTTTTCTTGTGGAGCCTTTAGGGTCTCTCAATATAGGTTCATATCATTGTAAACAGGGATAATTTGACTTCTTTCTTTCCTATTTATATCCTTTTTATTTCTTTCTCTTTCCTATTGCTCTAGCTAACATTTAAAGCACTAGGTGGAATAAGAGTATGGGAAGCAAGCAGATGATAGGCTAACTGATATCCTCTGCACACCCTATTGAACAGCTGTTCCTCACAGACCTCCTATGTAATAGGTAAGGAAGTCAGAGCTGACATAGCACAGTGACTTGGTTGCACCAGCATCTCATGAGCATTCTGGCAGGTGCTGGTGGGCATAGAATCACAGAGGGAGTGGGGAGAAGCAGCAGAGTCTGAAGGCAGTCAGGAGGGAGCTTGGAGAAGGAAGATGTGGTGGCTGAGATCCCTGGCTGGCTCTGTGGCTTTGGAATTCCATCCAATGGACTACCACCAACTGCATCACAGAAAACCCCTGCAAGTCAAAGATAGGGTTCTGAGGATGCAGCAAAAGTCTGCCACTAGCCATCAAAGCATCTTAGAATTTGTGGTGTAGTCCTAAGCAGTATGAACACAGAGAGAATCAGCAAACCAGAGCACAGCAGTCTCTGATCTGGGAACTGAACCATGCCGGTTGAGAGAATGGCCTCTACTGTTCTCTTCTCTGAGTGGAGTAGAGGGCTAGAACCTCGAGCACAGTGGGCAAATGTTTGACTAATAAGCATATGTATATTTGTCAGTTATTTTCGTTCAGGGCTGACATACATAATTCCATGACTTCCTTGCTTTTAGTTCTAATGAGAAATCTGCTGTTGTTCTGATGGGTTTGCCTTTATATGTGACTTGGTGCTTCTCTCTTGTAGCTTTCAATATTCTTTTGTTCTGTATACTTAATGTTTTAAATATAATATGCTGTGGAAAGGTCTTTTTCTGGTCTTGTCTGTTTGGTGTCCTAAAAGCCTCCTGTACCTGGATGACCATCTCTTTCTCAAGATTTGGGAAATTTTCTGCTATTATTTTATGTATATGTTTTCTATTCTTAGCTTCTACTCTTTTTTGTCGTTGTTTGGGAGGCATAGGGTTTTGAAAACTCAGGGCCTCACACTTGCTAAGCAGGTACTCTACCACTTAAGCCACTCCACTAGCCCTTTTTTCATTGGATATTTTTTGAGATAAGGTCTTGTGAACTATTTGCCCTGGCTGGCTTTGAACTGTGGTCCTCCTGATCTCTGCCTCCTGAATAGCTAGGATTACAGGCGTGAGCCACCAGTGCCTGGCAGCATCTACTTCTTTTCCTTCTTTTATGCCCGTGATTCATAGATTTGGTCTTTAATAGTGTCCCAAACTCTTGCATGCTCTGTTCATACTTTTTAATTTTTTCTTTATCTTTTTTTGAATGTTCTAATTAATCAGTCTTATCTTCGAGCCATGACATTCTGATCTTCAACTTGATCAAACTTGATTTGCTGTTGGTGAGCATTTCAACTAAGGTTTTGTTTTTGTTTTTTACTATTTTTTATTAGCATAAATTAATAGTACTGGG